TTTCCTCAAACGGCTAGCAAACCAAACGGGATGTGAGGTGTGAGAATGACTACGCCAGCTTTTTAGTAAAGGTGTCGTTCCTCTAACATCTCTTTTCAGCAGACAGATACTTCTTACGACAACGGTTCATTTTCCCGACATCACATGTCATTTACTGCAGCGGAAAAGAACGGGATTGCAGCAGCTATCGTCTCAGTACAAGGTGAGCTGCCTCGTGTGCATATGCCGGCCGTGCCGTCCGCCAGGTCCGGCGCCCGGTCGCCAGGTCCGGCACCCGGCCGCCAGGTCCGGCTGTCCCGGCCGCCAGGTCCGGCACCCGGCCGCAAGGTCCGGCTGTCCCGGCCGCCAGGTTCGGCGCCCGGCCGGGGCGTGCCGTCTCGGCGCGACTGCAGCTGCTCGGGCCCCGCGCGGCCGGGCGGTGACGTGAGGTGTCACCGCGCGCCACGACAGGGCCGCCGCCGCTGCCACAGGTGCGCGCCGGAGCTGGGGCTTTCCGAGCGAGGCTGGCCGGCGGCCACGGCCGGCCGGCCGACGTGGGCCGCGTGCAGCTGACATCGCAGTGCCGACTTAGAGCTCCTCTCTGCCGAGCTAGAGCTTCACACTGCTGAGTTAGAGCTCCACCCTGCCGAGCCAGAGCTCAACTCTGCCGAGGTAGAGTTCCACTCTGCCGAACTAGAGCTCCACAATGCTGAGCTAAAGCTCCACACTGCCGAGCCAGAGTTCCACTCTGTCGAGCTAGAGCTTTACAACGCTGAGCTAGAACTCCAAAATGCAGAGTTAAGGCTCCACTCTGCCGAGCTAGAGCTCAACTCTGCCGAGCTAGAGTTCCACACTGTCAAGTTAGGGCTTCACACTGCCGAGTTAGAGCTCCACTCTGCCGAGCTAGAGCTCCACCCTGCCGAGCTAGAGCTCCACTCTGTCGAGCTAGAGCTCCACACCGCAGAGCTAAAACTCCACACTGCCGAGCTAGAGTTCCACTCTGTCGAGCTAGAGCTCCACAATGCTGAGCTAGAACTCCAAATCGCAGAGCTAGGGCTCCACTCTGCCGAGCTAGAGCTCCACACCGCAGAGCTAGGGCTACACACTGCCAAGCTAGAGCTTCACACTGCCGAACTAAAGCTACGCACTGCAGAGCTACAACTTTGCACTGCCAAGCTAGAACTCCACACCGCAGACCTAGAGCTCTACACTGCAAAGCTAGAGCTTCACTATGCTGAGCTAGGGATTCACACTGTGCTTTCACACTACTAGCTGGAGCTCACCGCTGCCAAGCTAGAGCTCCGCACTACCAAGCTAGAGCTCCACAATGCTGAGCTAAAGCTCCACACTGCCGAGCTAGAATTTCACGATGCAGCACTTGAACTCCATACTACCGTGCTAGAGCTCTACACTGCATAACTATAACTTCACACTGCCGAGCTAGAACTCCACACCGCAGAGCTAGAGCTTCACACTGCCGAGCTAGAGCCCCACACCGCAGAGCTAGAGCTCCACACTGCAGAGCTAGACCTTCACTTTGCTGAGTTAGAGCTTCACACTGTGCTTCCACACTGCTGTGTTAGAGCTCAACAGTGCCGAGCTAATGGTTCACACTGCCGAGCTAGAGCTTTACAATGTTGAGTTAGAACTTCACATTGCCAAGCTAGAGCTTCACACTACCGAGATAGAGTTGCAGATTACCAAGCTAGAGCTTCACACTGCTAAGCTAGAGTTTCACATTACTAATCCAGAACTTCACATCGTCGAATTAGAGCTTCACACTGCACTTTCACTCTACCAAGTTAGAGCTCAATACTGTCGAGAGAGAGCTCCACACTGTCGAATTAAAGCTCGAGCTTAATCCTCGCGCTCCGAGTCTGAGGTCGAGCTCAGGCCTCCGATTCGGAGAAGTCGGTCGGCGGTCGGAAATGGAGCGGCGCTGCTCTGCACGCCGGCTTATGGTTTTCACACAGCCGCACGGTATGACCACTTCGTTAACTTCTTAACGCAAGACTTTGGTTTTCGTAGTCATACTAGTGTTGCCTTTCAGTCCGACTACCTGCCGCATCGATGAGTCAGCAAAATATGCATAGAAACTTCCCCCATCGCGCTTTGAGCACCGATGTTGTGATACTGAAGGCGAAAAGACAAAGCTTCGGGCTCAGCTTTGAAGCACATTGTAGGACCGTTGCCGTGCCGCAAAAGCGTATCGAGAAATGCAAATACGCCATAGAGCATCAACTCGCAGGCGAGCATTTTGGCCCTCGCATCTTTGCTGGCATTGTTCCTGGTATTTGGAGAGAAAGAATGTGACCAAACCTCGGCAGACAGAGTTCTCATATCCACGGCGAGGAGTTTCCATTCATTGTGTGAGTATACGATTTCTAGGCCCAAAAACAGAGAGCGTCCAAAACCATCCACGTATCTTTTGTCTTTGAGTCGTCTCCTTTGGCCTCTTGGTATTGGTCAAGTAGTTTTCTCAGATTCGAAGACCTCTTGGACACAGCAAGAAAAGAACCTTTTATGTGTCTCTGTGACCCACCATCCGAACCTTGGGCCCTCTGACCCTTCGCATTTGGAGAAGCCAGAGGTGGTGTTTCGAGGTGTTCGCCTTTCAAGTGTACCAATATTCAGCCGAAGTGAACATTAGACACAATGCTGCTTTATGTTCCTTTCAGATCAGAGGCCCCTGTACCACTCCACAAGCACTCCCGAAAATTTTGCTCGGGCGCGGGCATCTTCCCCCCACGGGTACGCGGAGTCCAAGTTTCGAGCCACTCCTGCAGAACCCAGACCCTCCTGGGGGCTTTTTGTGTCATCTAATCGTAACTCGGGCAATTTTACGTCTGAAAATCCTGTTATGGAGCATGGACCGTCTTGATGGTCAGATGCGTGTGCTAGGAGCTGGGAGCATTACCCTAAGGCGGTTAGCGGGGAGCATCGGCTTCAAAAGGGCTCAGGCGCGTCCACTCTTAAAAATTTCTTGGATTTTCCGACCCACTGACTGGAACAGCGCTGCTCTTCGCGCGATATGCTTTTTCCTGCTTCTGCACTGATGCATTCAGTGGTTTTCGGTCAGTGAAAGACACCCGCCGTGGGAAAGGCCATTGGACGCTGTAGGTACGCTGTAGGAGGTACCGTGACTTGGGTCAGTCACAGTTGGCTGACCGCCACCAGCGGTGTGTTCACAGACATGCTTCCCCGCGGGGGTGGACATCAGCATGGCACCGCACAGCTCGCGTCGGGCGGCTGAGTGAGGCGCGGGCTGGGCTCTCGAAAGATCACGTCACGTAGCCAGTGAGGCGACGTCATTAGCCGGTTTGAACCGGACCGTTCTCAGAGGGCGGTCGTCTCCCCAACACGCAGCGTCCCTCCTGGCCGCCGCCGTGGTCAGGGGACAGCGCACACACGCTGTCCCTTCGAGCTGTCGCCCGTCGAGCCTTTGACCTGACCACATCCGCCGGCCACCTCGACACCGTCCCGTCTAGTGACGCGGCGCGTCGGTGCGCAGGTGACTTGTTGACCCACCGGGCGCAGGCGCTGTCCCTACCTTGGCACTGGGTGTCGCAGGTGACCTGGTCGTAGTTGCGGTCGTGCGCGGCGCAGATGTCGGCGCAGGGCCGACACTGGAGCACGTGGCGCGAGCAGAACTCGTGCAGGCCGCAGAGCAGCTCGTGGCACGACTTGCTGGAGGAGCTGAGGCCGGCCAGCGCCGGTCGGCCGGTGGCCAGAGCCGAGGCTAGCATGCGAGCCGGCCGCGCAGCGCACATTCTCACCGAGAGTCGCCGCCGGTGGCCGGCTCTGTCTCAGTCACACACAACAGCGCGCCGGTGCGCCGCCGGTCCTCCCGGTCCCAGCCACTCACAGCGTGATGCCGACAGCCAGGTCGGCGGGTACAGCTGTCCGTGGTGACCCGGCACGCGCCGTCAGCAGGCAGAGGCGCGGACACGGCGACCCGCGCTCGGCACAGGCGCGAATGTTCGCCGCACAGCAGCTCTTGAGCGCTGCCCCGACTCAGTTCACCAGTCTTACTGACACGAGAGCAAACCAGGCTCCTCGACTTCGGAGTAATCCTACCGCACGTCCTCGCTGCGGGGATCCAACAGCGAGTGCTTCCGCCGCGGAGTGGTCCACGCCGACGCACAATCGAGTCCATACGCCGGGTGCGCCGGTCCGCAGCTCGCACGTCCGCCGGGGCCTGCGCACCACACCTGTCGGCCGCGCCGCGATGTCGCTCCCGCGCGCGCCACTCCACGGTCGGCCGGTCGCGATTGCCGCGGCGGCCGAAGCGGCGCCGACCGGTCCGCTCTCTCCGCACGGCCGGCCAGCGGCGCGAATTCCGGGAAAACCGGCGGCGTAATGGCCTTTACCGGCTCTACGCCCCGCCCACTCAGGTGCGCCGGTGGGCGGCCGCGCGCAAGAAGGGCCCCGCCGCGGCGGCGACCTGCGCCGCTCGGGCCGCTGTTGCGCGCGGCCCCTGACACGGCCCGTGCGGATGCTAACGAGAGGTCCGGACTCGCGTCCCAAGCGCAGCAGATCGGGCCGCGCGCAGGGACAGCGGGGGACGCGAAGGCGGGCTGGAGTACGGGCGGCCGGCGAGGACCGGGCGGTGGCCGGGGCCGGGGCGGGAGCGGCCGTCGGTGCTACGTGGGCCGACAGGCTCGGCCGTCCTGCTCCCGGGCCGACGGACGCGGGGCGGGCTCCGGGCGGCGCGCCGATCCGAGAGCCGTGCTCCCCGAGGACGCTCACCAACCCTCAGCACCGGTGACTGGTACGAGAACAAAGCCCACAACCCGACTGCTTGAGCCCGGCCGAACCATCGCCGCTGACGTGTGGAGGCCGAGCGTCGTCGGGTGAGGCGGCCGGTCGCAGTTTTCGCGCCAGACATCGTCAGAACACCATCCGTAACCCGCCCGGAACCCACCGTCTGACGGTGCGCAGTCCCCTCTCGATTTCAGGCCACCTCCGCTCGTGACTGATTCGACTCGTTCGGCACGCCGGCTCCGGTGACAGTGACAAGCTCAGAACAATACAAATGTATTAAGGATCACACCGCTGCAGGACGTCACATTTCACAGGTAGGCGGTCGGTAAGATTACCTATTTTTGGCACGTTATCGATCGATGTCAGCAAACTGATATAAATATCAGTGATCAAACCCATCACGGAACATCCCCGCCTGAGCAATCATTGCGTACACGGCAACAAAACTGTTATCACCACACACATTCAAACCAAGCAGCGACACTAGTGCCTGACTAGGACCACGACTAGCCTTCCATCTGCAATCCCGACTCCATCAGCCTCAATCCGGTCGGTCATCCCAGCAACTACCACCGAGCCCCGACAGATGTCAGCTCTGTCGCTCGCCCTCACCCGGCCCCGCCCCAGCGCAGTGCTTCACGCCGCGCGCCCGAGGGCGGGGCTACTCGCGACAGGCACACCCTGTCCGCAGTCGGGCCGTCCCCACATCGGGCCTGCACTAGCCAGCGGCGCGTTCGCGGCACGCCCAGTGTCAGCCACAACACACGGCAACGCGGTCGGACCGTTTGAAAAGCGGCCACGGTACGAAAGTGCGCAAGCTTCCCAGACCATGCAGTAAAAACGCGCAAGCTTCCCTGACCATGCGGTGTAAATGTTTAGAGCATTGGTACAATCCAGCACACTGAGTAAATCCACAACGATTAAAAAGGACGTTTTAAAAACATCTCATTGATGCCAGTTCTGCCCGTCACTCTCCCATTCCCCGAGTTTCCACTCCGTGAGTACGGATTAGTATTAGTTACAAAGCTCGTATTCACAACCACAGTCACACCAGGAAGGGGTCACTCCGGCCGGTCAGCTGGCGAGGCCCACCTCAACAACACACGCTATCTACCGACCATCGCCGCTCCTCTGCCCAAAGCCCCACACTGACCATAACGCGGAGTCGATCTCCCACACAGCAGAAGGAAGACCGGTAGCCGGGTCGGTGACTGGCCGTTCTCGGCGCGCTGGGGAGAGCGCCGGCGCCGGCGGTCACCGCCGGGCCGCACCCCTTCTGACGTCACCGCTCCCTCTGACGCCAGGCCGGCGGCCGCGCTCCGCCAGTGCCTGACTCCACGGGACAAGGCGCGGCACCTCACGCGACTAGACCGGGGACTACGGGGAAGGCAGCACCACTCGAACCCGCCACCAGGCGACACCGCGGCCGCACCGCGCGTCCGGGCACCGTCGGCGGCCGGGAAGGCGGCCCCCGCGCGCGGCGCCGAGGGGGAGCGGCGGCCGACGCCACCTCCGCCGGCGGCGCCGGCGACATCTAAGCGGCCGTGTTGACCTTGGTGGCCACGATGCACTCGTCGTCGCACGCCTTCAGCACCGTGCACTGCAGCGGGACGGCGACGGCGTTGGGACAGGCGTGAGAACGGCCACCGAGCGGACACGCACCACTGATCCGGCGGGTGCGCGCATCTCATTCTCCAGTTGGGGCAAAAACCGTCAATACACGTAGTTATTAAGAGTTCAGCGCCTCTTCACGGCGAACTGGGCGCCTACACACGTTCTGCGCCATTTATGTGCCTTACATTACCACACCAGATGTCATAAGATGTCACGAGCGTGGTTTCCTTTGCGGTTGGGGCGGGGGTCTCCCCAACACTTGGAGACCAAATCCAAAGCAAATCTCACCCAATCCAACCAAACTGACACCAAATCCGGGGGTAAACCTGATTTTAGCGCACTTTGTGGCTGATCGTCGTCGGTACGTACCAGCAGCTCCTTGCCGTCGTCGAAGTCCTTCTGGATCTGCTGGCCAACGGGGCCGTCTGGCAGCCGCAGGTCACCGCGCGTCTCGCCCTTGTCGTCCATCAGCGTGCAGAAGCCGTCCTCGATGTCGATCAGCTGTAATGGCGCGCGCCTGTCAGGCCGCCGCAACACCCCGAAGGGGGAGGGGGGCAGGAACGGATCTGTTATGACAAGCATGAGTCGTGGGCTTTTCCCAGCACACATTCATAGCGATAACATTTTATTTCAATAACAAACATCGTGCAGTACAGCATTTTTACAGTACCATGCACAGTTCTCGGGTCGCATTATATCCCGCAACTCTACTGCAGACGAACTGGATTACCAGAGCGTGTCGTATGGAGTAGGCTTCAAAGGGCTCCAACAGGGAGACATGGTGTTCAGTGTAGATTTGAGGTTTCGTATCTGGATTGATTCTGCGATTTTTAATTCAACATCTTCACATACCTGCTGCATGGATATTTCGAGCAGCACAGCATCGATTCAAATAAAAGTGTCTAACCTACACTTAACACAATGACTTCCTCTTGAAAGCTTTGAAAGCCTGTCCCATATAACACTATCCAGTTATGCAATTTCCCTGCAATAGATTTGCTGGATGTAATACTGTTTTAGAACAACGTGTGATATTCTTAAAATGGTTTTCTGCAAACTTGTGATTTGAATCAAATGTCTGCTTCATATGCACGCACTGGGGAAAGCCCACAGCTTATAAATAAATAAATAAATAAATAAATGTATATATAAACATAAAACGTTTTCTTAGACGGATTCTTTCTTTCAAGAGCAGCGACTTTCCTTATTTTCCTCTACATACGTCATGTGATCATTGTTAACTCACCCAGCATTTCCATTACATAACAACCGTGACTCATCCTCAATCCATTGAATTTCCTTCTCATCTTTGATCTCCCGCCGACACCGTCACGCGACGCCCGTGATCCGTACCAGCGTCAACGTCATGTACCCGTGTGACCCGCAACATTTCTGTGATACCTCCTCGGATTCCTGTGACCCCTGTGACCTCTTTAACACCTGTCCTGTGAGCCCCGTCATATATCCAAGCACTTCTTTACGATCACCATACTCCCTCCCAGCACCACGATCACGCCATCCATACGATCTTTCCCAGCAATCCAGCATCGACGCTGTGCGACCTCCGTGATCTATCTCTCCCAGCACCCCGGCATCAGCGCTGTGCGATCTCCGTGATCTATCTCTCCCAGCGCACCTGTAAGTCGAACCTCCGCACCACTGGCACGTCCATATTGTGCGTCGACGGACAGATGTCCTCATATTTCTTGCCCACAAAAATGTCTATGCCGACCATGTGGACCTTGGCATGGCCGTGCTTTCCCGTCTTGGAGGTAGACATCTCGACAATCTTGCAGGGGCGCCCCTTCAGCATGACAAAGCCGTTCTTGCGCAGAGCCGAACATTGCATAGGGAAGGTAGTGGAGGCGCCCGAGTCGCCCTGGCCCTCAAACTCATTGTCCAGGTCAAGGTCAGCCATTCTGTTTTGTGTGATGAGCTACCTGAAATGAAGGGGAGGTGTGATACACCAAACTTCATGACTGCTATGTGACCAGTGTAAGCCTTGAGCCATGTTCATACTGATGTGCAAAGCTGTGAATGCAGCCAAAGAGAGCTCCAGCAATGACAGTTCTCAGGATCTTACACATGCTGATTGGGTAAAGGTGCAGGCAACAGCATATCCAAGAAAAGGTAGCATTAAACCAAGCTCGTTCAAAGGTGTACACAGGCGCTACCTGTCATGAAACAAGGTGCAAGTTTTGGTTATGGATCCAACTCACAAGGAGTCTGATTTGCATTATTTCATGTCATGAGTTGTATATTAGTGTGAAACATTTCATTGCACATCATACAGCTAACATCCCAAGTGCAAGCAGCTTGTGTGACCCACGCTATGTTGCGACAGTTTGTTTTTTACTCAATCTTGGACTGCACACACACTTGGTGGCACTTCTTTCACACATAAATGCATCACCAATTTCCAGAATGGTAACCCTCCTTAGCTTCTACATAAATTGAGGGCAGCCCAACAATAACCTCTGACACAAAAGCTCCACCCATAACCCTTGCCCCACACCTATTATTTTTCCATGGAATAGGATTTAAAAGAATGTTGTAATTACAGAGCAAGGCATTGATAATCCTAGGTTCCTTTAACCAAAAAAGGTACAAGATGGCAATAATATTGGCATCACGGCCAATAATATAATCTGAATATGGTGATAAGCAGTATCAGAGTCAGGATGGCTTATCCTCAGTCTTGACTTGACTGATAATGTAGTGACCACTGCAAAAGTGCCAGAAAAATAAAGTAATTATCACCAGCTACATCTTTTTGATACTGAATGACTGTCATGATGCAACAATAATTTGAACATTAAAACTTATAAACTTTTGTCATTTACCATGCAGAAAATTATCAACAGTAGTCATACAGCCACAAAACCTTACCATGTAACATTTATCAGTTACCTTTCCACACACAAAAACTATAATCATACACCAGCAAAGTATACCCACACATGTTGTTAGAATCATACCAGGACCTCCAAAAGGCTCACCCTACTAATCAAAAGTTCAGGGGGAGGGGGTTTGGCAGCTGCTCCGGAGATTGGAACCACACCATAAGATGTGCACTATAGTATTTGCAGGGCAGATGTTTAACTGTCTCAACCTTCCTCAGAACACTGCTGAAGTGATGAGGGCCCCTTCCCCAACTTGTAGTCAATGACAAAAAGCACATGCATCTAGAGAATCCAGCAGGGGCACCCCATTTTCCTAGAATATGTAACATTAACTCTATGGCAACATGAAAAGTCGACCTCGGAATCGGTTTTGGGACCCTCCACTTTCTGTGACATGTTTCACCTATTAAAAACGTGTGCAATATATAAGAAACAGCAGTATCACATTTTAATGCCTAAAAGATTCCAATACGACCCTATGTCAACGTTTTTACACACACGACAGGCCCCAACCAGGGAGATCGAGACGGCGAAACCGAGATGCCCGGTGCGTCGGCAATGCCGCGGTCCCTGCCGCCGTCAGCCGGTGCGGCATGGAGCTGTACGACAATCAGCTGTTGCTGAAGAAAATATCGCCCAATCGGCTGACACCGGCTGTCCAGTGACGCACCTCATGACTTCGTGTCAGTTTCGCGAAATGGGGATTGAAAACGTTGCTAGATCAGTAGATCAGTAGCGCAAGCACGGGAGGGAGGGGGGGGGACGGGGGCACATGCCCCCTCCTGGGATCTGAGGAGTTCTTTGAGCCCCTCGAGAATTACGATAAAGGGCCCTATTTGAGGCGGGCCGTAGGTCGTATTCGGGGGTTCCGTCCAGCCCGCAGAGGCGGACATTCTCCTGACAGCAAGAGGGCCCTGCGCGCTGATCAGAGACCCCCGAGTCGATAAAGGCCTATAAGCCGGTCAAAAGCCACTAGCAACGCACTGTCGGCTCAGTGACGGCATGGGCCTGAGGGCCTATTTTCCAGATGGGAACGAAGCCAAAGTCAGCGATTTACGTTGGTCGGGGTCCCTGCGTCCGACGAATCCACAGCACTTGAGGAGGCCCTGCGTCGGCAAGAGGCCCCACGTCAGCGAAAGGCAATGTCCGAGGAGGCCCGAAGAGCCTGGATGGCCCACTGGGTCCGACGATCAATTTCCCTGATTGCAGGGTGTAAGGGGACGAAGGGTCAGTTGGAGACTTACTTAGCGGCCTCGACCTGCGGCAATGACCCCCAAATGACAGTCAAGGAGCATTTTGCTCTGATCAGGGATCCCTGAGTCGATATGGGCCTATATCAATCAGGGGCTCCTGTGTCGGTCAGGCACCACAATGCTTAACAGAGATCTTGTGGCGACAAATGGCCCGAAGTCGGCCAGGAGCGGCGTTTGAGGGGGTCTGAAGAGGGGCCGAAGGGTCTCGCGGGACCATAAATCAAGGGCCCGATTGCATGACTAAAGGGCCCGAAGAGCTAGCTTTAGGCCACCTTAAGGACCCTGCCCGTAGGGCCATGATCTCAAACTACAGTCAGAGGGCCTCTTGCACCGACTGGGGACCCCTGAGACAGAGTGTTCCTCTATTACGGGCAGAGATCATGAGCAACGAACAGGCGGCTTCGTGTCGGTCTGTGCTCTGGGGGCCAATTGTCCAAGCAGAGACAAGGCCGGCCCGTGATTTACATTGGTCGGACCACTGCAACAATGCAGGGCTTCTGTATCGATCAAGTGCTCGCAGCGCCTAACAGAGTGTCCTGTCATCAAGGAGCCTCAAGACAATCAGCGAAACATTCGCTCAACAGGGATGAGGACGGCGTCCCGAATGACAGGGGGCCTCTTGCGCTGGTCGGGGCCTTGACAATGAAAAGAGACCTGATGACTTATGATGAGTGTTCACATTACGACAATGGAAGGATCCTCTGCGAGTCAGGACCCCGATACAGGTGGGTCAAGTGAGCGCTCCATTACAGTGTCAGCGTGGGGCCCGTTAAGCCGAACTGGAGTCTAGGTGACAATTATTGCACCACCTGTAGCGAACAGGCATGTCGCCGCGTCAGTGAGAGTTCCTGTGCCGATCCAACGCGTATGTCAGAAAGCCTCCCGTGCCAGGGAGGGGACCAATGTGATTTAATGTATCCCTTTTTAGGCTCTAAATCGACCACGGGATCCCGCCCCGTGTCGCCAGAATAGCAGCCGAAAGACATCCCGAGGTGGGACGGCATGGCTTTCAGTCGTTGGTCGGAACAGTAATGTGCCCCTAGTATTCAACTTAGGGGCCCCTTGCCCGGAAATAAGGGGCCTCATTAGTGTTGAAAGGAGTGGGGCGAAATGAGTTAAAAAACGAACAAGACCATCCGATGTTTGCCTGGGAACGTTCATTTTTTTCGCAGAATCGACTAGTGAAGCAAATTACATGAAAAATGTTGAGCATGCGCGTATGCAATGTGGGGAACACGGACAACGGTGGCCTGAGATGCAGCTTCCGTATGACCAAACGGCGTTGGTCAACGCAATGGCACCAAGCGGCGGGCGCCGCGCTCGCGAGAACGACCGCCGTAAAACGAGGGTTCTGAATATCTTCCAAATTTATTTCGCACCGTTCAATGGTTAGGCTGGCTGTATCTTTTTAACTTTGGGGCTGGCCCCTGGACAGATGGACAGCTATAAAAATACGCAAAATACAGATCCTACCTTTACTCTTCTAGTTCCACCACCAGATTCCAGCACCACTTCGCGATGCTGTAAAGGCTAATCAGTTCTTAGCATCAATAAAACAATATTGCAGATAAAAGACACGCTCGGATGACTTCTAAAGGTAAGATTCGGTTATCTTAAGCGTTCAAGGGATATTCTTTCAGAAGCGTTATTATTTTCGTTTACCCGTTGGCTCAGTGTTAGCAATGCGAGCGCGCATGTTCAAAACTACGTTGCATGATGCGTATCACTATTTGATTTTCCAGACAAGCACGCCTAGGGAATGTAAATACAGCGTGTTGAATCATTTCGATCTCCATTCTACATTCGTGGGGTCCGTAATAAGTCTGTTGAGC